TTTTTTTTTTTTTTTTTTTTTTTGATATCTATTTACTTTAAGAAAAATATGCCACTAATTACTTGTCCTCAAATATATTTTGTTGATATTTACCCCACACAAACATTAAATAAAACATTGACTTTATTTGTTCATGTACTTTTGTAGAAGAACCGCCTGAAGGACGCAGCCCACAGGTATCAGTATGCCCTGAAGAAGTTCCCAATGGAAGGGTTTGGTGAAGATGTCCGCACATTTAAGGATCTCAAACTGAACCTCTTGCTCAGTCTCTCAAGGTGCAAGAGGAAAATGGGGGTAAGTTGAACCACTCAAGTAGAAGGTGGGCAGGGTGCAAGGTACACATAACTGCCATACCATAGAATAATACTGTTTCTTTCTTGGAATACTGTTTGGTGCAGTGTATTTTGGAAAATTATAACGTTGAAAACTGAATAGTATTACATGCATATACCCCTTGGCTGTATTGTCCATTGGCTATTCATGCACTCAATTGCTTCCACACCTACCCTAGGGATTGTCTCACATAACCAGCCGGTCAGCTTACTCAGGCAGTAACAATACAAGAGACCATTTTTGTAAAAGATGTAGCATATGAACAGAATTTATATTTTTATTACTGAGTACTGTAGGGTACTTCCCAGTATGTTACGTTTTTGGGAGCTGTTAATTTATTTTGAGAGGAATTGAGTAAATGTGTATTTTGCCTGTTTGACGATGATTTAATTTTGACTATTGGCTAAAATTCTTAATTTTAATTTGGTTTGATTTAAACTTAAATGAATAGCATATGGCATTTTTCTTGTGATAAAATGGATATGATTGTTATGTGTGTTTTAATCTATATTAATATATAGTTATTTATGTTAAGGTAGGATGTTGCTCATTCTTCCAGGATTTCAGTTCAGCCGTGGAATTAGCCAGCAAGGCTGTGGACATGAAACCAAAATCATTTGAAGCTTTCTATGCAAGGGCACGTGCCAAGAGAGATGACAGGTGAGACGGAATGCATGTGCTTGCATGGCACTATTGCCCCTTCAAAGTCATTTGTGTATTTAACCCACAAGTATGTAGATCAGCAGAATAAAAAGATTTGGAAGGAATCAAAATGGTGCATAGACATGGTTCTACCAATGGTAAACACATGCTAGTGAAAATGTCAATACAAGTATAGTAACTCAAGAGAAAAAATGTCTCATAATGCATCCGGATAAAGATATCATGTCAAGTATTGTAACCCAGTGAGGAAAGATGTCACATTGATCTGGATCAAACACTAGCTGCAGCATCTGTTTTTCCTTCTGTTAACTCCTCAATGTGAAATCTTCTCTTTCAATCACAGGCACTATGCAGCGGCCCTTCAGGACCTCCTGGAAGCACTGAGGTTGGCCCCAAACAATCGGGAACTGCGACGTCTGCTTGTACGAGTTAAGGAGGAATGCAAGCAGCAGGCCAAGCTGGAGCGTGCAAGCTCTGGGGTGTCACTGGACCATATAGGGCGTGACGATTTTAGCAGTGCAGGTGCTGTCATCGAGAGGCCGAAAGAAGAGACTGCCTTATGACGCCAGGGGTTGGCCCTTTTAGAGGAAACATTCTAGAACCTTTTCACAAGAGCCATTGTTTTGACTAGTTTTTTACTGCTTTTTTATTTTATTTATTTATTATTATTTTTTTATTTTATTTTATTATTTTTTTTTGGTAACTTTGCCGTCATAAGTGTGGTCCGATATATATGTAGGGGATTGTTATCTTTCAGATATGAATTAGAGTTTGCTCCTTGGCAAAATTGAAGAAAAAAAAGTACTTTGATACTGTTGACCATCAAATCTCCTTATCATGGGCGAGGAGCTCAAAAATCTTTATGTGGTTGTTTTTTTTTCTGTGAAAAATATACAGAATTGAGTAGCCAAGAGCTCTGTTTTAATCATCATGTCTTCCCACAGTTTATAAAAGTGTGCTGGCATTACCATGACCAAAATTACCAAGAGTAAGATAGGGCTAATCATAAGGGCTTCTCTCTTTGATATATATGTATTTATATCCAAAACTACATTATGTACATGTAGCAGTTTATAAATCATGTTGCAGAACCTTTATTTAAGGCATAAAATTCAGGAGATTGGTGTCTGCATACGGTGTATATTGTGTCATTTGTACATGAGTTCAGTAAAGTTGTTTTGAAGCATGTGTGCTGTTGCTTCCAGCACTGATCATACAATCAGCAAAAGATCAGACTGTGGATTTTTGGAATCGCTGTGGTTTCAAAAATATTGGGGTGCAGTTAAATATTGAGATCATTGTGCATTTAAATGTACTGGTACCATATAAAGAAATTAAACAGCTGTCTGTAAATGGAATTTGTTGAATTTATTTTCAATATTGCACAGTTTTGCTTGTAGAACTTTGAAAGTGTGCAGAAAAAAATTGTGTTGATATCGTTTTGTGGAATGTATTATATATGAAGTGGTCTACTTATTGAGTTGAAAGGCACTGCCACAGATTATGTGTGAAATGTTCATGCACAACTTCTCCAGTTAAATATTGCTTAGAAAATATATCACAAACTCCGGGAGGTATAAAATACATGTAAATGTGTAAAACCATTATGATTCAGTTGATATGGATTTTGTGCTTTGTAAATGTTTTTTCTCTGATTTAATTCTATTTATTCCCTGAAGTTTGTGCATGATGTGCAAAAAGCAAAGGATCTAAATTACTGTTCAAGCATGCAAGATATGCTTATCATAGAGGCCAGATCATTAAATAACCTGTATAAATTATAAATTATGTGTTTCATATCATTACAAGTATAGGTATGTATCAAGGTGCTCCCCTTTGTGAAGAAGTTTTCACAAAGTACAGTGCATTTTTAGGCTCCATGCAGTTCCTCCATATTTTACATGTAGTAAATTAAGTTGCCAGCACTGTTGATGATATGAAATATCATGAACTTCATTGTAATATAGCCATCTGTTTCTCACCTGGCCTGTGTTTATATACCTGGAAGATTTGTGTGTTGTCCTGTTTCTGTATTGTATATTATTATACTGTGTTCCGTAGCTTTTATCATGAGCCTCGCTTTCCGTGCACATTCTGTTTAGGTATAAAACACACTGGGTTAGCTGTACTGATAATATATAAATGCCCATGGAGTGTGTACAGTATTTAAACACTGTTTTATATCAAATGAAGAATACAGAATACCAGATATTATGCAAAGCACGTTTGTTGTTGTTTCTTTGCTCTTGTACCTGTATGATTATATCAGTATTTTTGTGTCCAAGCAGAAGGTAACAAAAACTCGTTGAATTTCACTACCAAAGCTGTTTGATTTATTTATTTTTTCATGAAAGGCATCAGCATCATATAGCTTGCTTTAATCAGAAAGTTTGGCGGATTCTTGGCTGCGTGAGCATTATTTATTGTCAAGATGTACAGTAGTGTCAAGTATTACTTGTCAAATAACAAAACTGCAACAAAGAAAAACCGTTATATTTATGGATTTTCAATATCATTATATTTAGTCTCCGGTGGCGGATTTAGACCTGACCCCCTCCCCCCTTTTCGATTTCTGAGTCATAGTTCTAAACCGTACCAAATGGCACCATTCCCCCCTAAAAAAACATGAAATTTCGCAGACCCCAAACCCCACGCCAAGTAAGTGTGGGGGAGGTTTGGCTTGAATACATATCCGCGCCAACCCCAACCCTCACCCCCCC